AGAAAGCTGTCCAGAACCTGAGAGGTCCAAGATGAGTGAACTTCCCTCAATCAGACACATCCTGCTTCTGTTTACACACAGGACCACCAGTGTTCTATTTAGAATTTCTCCCAGTAAGGATTGAGGCACTGGGCGGCAGCCACTGTGTCGGTGCTCTGCAGAGCCCATTGGAATGTGATGACCCTGAGGAGTGAGCACTGGTGCTGGAGGACACCAGCCCTGGACAGCAGTAGCTGCTGTCAAATACCCACACTGTTCCTTCACATCCTGTTGCCATCACCAGTGTTCAGAGATGTCACCACTTGCCTGACAAACGGGGCCGAGTCACCAATCAACACAACCGAAGCAGGGAGAATAGAGTAAGACTGTCTGTTAGGAGGAACATTCTGGCCAGGAGAAACAAGCTCCTTACTCCCAGCAGACAGCCTGCATCCTAAGGAAACACTCTATGATGATGTAGCTGTAACTAGCACCAACCAAGAGGCTGTGTCTTCATTTCTATCACACCAGCTGAGGACGACCTCGACGGGCAGTGTGCCTGAGACTGACTCTGAAACACTCCGCCTCACTGTGGCACAGCACTACACAGTCTCAACTGCTGCACTGTCTAACCGCATCTACAGCACTCACAGACGCAACGGCTTCCTAGCAGATGAGGCCTCAAAACTTGGAAAGCCAGAGCTGGAAAGTTTGCCTTAACTTATCCAAACAGGCAGCTTGCCATAGTCTATGAGGCCTTAATTATGTAACTGACTCTAGACCATTTCCTCCACTACCTCTGCCAATGAGCAGGCTGCTCCTCCCAGGCCTTTAAAGCAGTCAGCAAGTAACAACTGCCAGAAAGTTGCAACCTTCCTGTTTGCCTGTTGTGCACCCCAGCAGTGGTGAGGCACAGCCATGAGCCTGGCTCAACTCCAGCCATATCACTTAAGATCCCATGGCAGGCAGAATCAGCCACTCTGGTACAACTAGAAGAGTCCATCCACAGAGACCACAAGTAGGTTTCCTGAATTTGGTTTGACTTAAAGCTATCCAAAAACCTAGAGGCAGATTAATCAGTGACTTTCAACAGAGGCATTCACTGGAAACGGATCCCTAATCCTCAACCCCATGAAAAAGGTTTCTAGGGACTCAACAGTCCCCCAACCTTCCCATCCCTGCCACAAAACAAAGTGGAGAATCTGACCTGGTAACAAGCCAGCCATAGGGAAGAGCAACGGGCAGGACAGGAGGCCGTGCCAGGGCCTAGGAACCTGTCCTAGGGTTCAGCTGTACGGGAACAAACTCCAGAGCCCCACCTTCCCCAGGCAGAGCAGCCAGGACAGCCTGCCTTCCCAAACAAATTCCCTTTAGGATAGGTCTTAAACCACAAGGATGATTTTCTTTACTCCAGAAAGGTCTGTCTTGTCAAAAAATCAAAGATCTAAACCTCAGAGTGAATGAAGGAAAGCCCTTAGAAGACAGACTAGGAGTTAGAAAGCCCATATGCTGAATGATTATCTTCCTCTCTGGTGGAGTAAACTTGGAGAACTGGGGCTGGAGACTCTGCCTTGGAGCATCTAGTGTCATGGTCAAAGCCCATTCTGCTCCTACTGGGAGATTTTGACTTACTTTCAAATGACAACTTTCATCCAGAGGAAACAACAATTTCCAAGGTTACAAAGTATATAATTTGCTGTTAAAATCAGGGATTCCCAGCGACACCCTTTTCTTTTGCTTTTGCAACATCCATTAATTTCATTAACTAATACTGGTACATCAGTTTAGGGAGGAAAAAAAAAAAAGGTAGTACTGTGACATTTCAAAAATACGGAACACCTAAACACAAGTAACATTGGAACTCCTTTGCCAACAAAAATAAAAAAACAAAAACAAATAAATCCTTGCAGGGATATGTCTGAGAGCTTTTTTAAATGTTTGGAGGAAATATTTTCATGTTCAGCAAAATGACTGCTAAATTTTCATTCCCCAAAGGAATCCCATTTCCTAACATTTTATTTTTAAAGTTTAAATGGTCTTTTATAACTTAGTAATTCTAAACACGTGGAATGGAAGGGTTATCAGCTGACACTGTTTCTGCTCTGAGCTCCTGGAGGAGTTTTACACAAGATGGGAACCTTCAAATGTTTTTTCCAGCTGACCTAGCGCACTAGATAGTGTGTTGCGTTCGTGCTTTAGACATTTTGTTCGGGAATGCTGTACGTTCTGGAAATATCTTCCTCAAAGAGCTGACTTTACATCAGACCACCATTGCATGGCAGTTAAAACTGTGACTGCATTTAAAGGAATAAAGCAAGTGGCCTGACAAACTGCGGCTTACAGGGTCCTCAAGTGCAGATGGACATCATTTCCCCTAAGAACGCAAAGAAGGAACAGGCTCCTTTGGAAGGACTAGGCTTGTGTGAGAAAGATTTCCTAACAAAGTACTCCAGGGACCAAAAGTGGGCCAGGGGGACAATGGAACTTCAACGTGTTTTTGTCTTTTACAGAAGAACTTATGCTTGTAAAACACATCAGAAGGACAGCGTTAGGTCCTGCAAGCCATTGCTGCTGATTTCGTTGATGTTTAACTTGTATGTGTAGGGTGAGGGGGACTGAGGACAGGACATGTTCTCTCCAACATGACTGGGCGTGGGACACGTTTTACATCGACTTTTCACAGTCAGGCATGTGCTTTTGAACAAAGAGCAGTGGAGACAGGAGAGATCAGGGTTTGACACAGTTTACAGATACATTTTGTGCTTAGACAGTACTTTACAAATGACTTGCTCCATTTAAATGTCTATCACCGAAAGTAACATTTGAGTAAAAAATATGGAAAATGGGCCTGCTTGCAACAGTCTTTTCTGGGAGGGCAAGGGGGTGTGACTTTAACTTGAATACAAGTATAAACCAAATTCTGTAAGCTTATCCCCTCCAGGGGGACTTGAAGTAGCCACTTTCACATGAAGGCTGGGGACAAAGCAACGGATGAAAATAGAGGGACACCAAGGGTCTGAAAATATACTGGGCCTTTTCCATGGATTTTTGTCATGTTACAGTAACACTTTTTTTTTTTTTTTTAAGAAAACTGTGTACATCGAAATTTTAAAAATTAAAAACACTGAAAGGATGTGCAAGTCTAAAAGGGCTCAATAGATTAGAATCCTGATTTGAACATAATAGATCTACTCTCAAGCATCGCTCTGGTCTAAAGGCGAGGAGTAAGCAGGCAGGAAGGGACGAAAAGAGGGAGATAATTGAATTACTCAATAAAAGAGGCTACTTACCATCCCAACCCATTGTAAGACATACACTTCTGACATAAGAGAACTCCTTAGAGGTCGGATAAAGCTCGTAAGCACCTTTGAGTAAAGCACCTGCCCCCGAGAGGGCCTGGAAGCCCAACGTGGGCTTAGCGAACAGACCTCCGCTAATCTGTTTATTTCCTTGAACTGTAGTCTGGCTGCGAAGGGCTGCGATTCCCAGGACGATACATTTAATTAGAACAAAACAGAAAAAAAAATTGTAAAAAAAGCTCACCAAACGGCTGCACCTGTGTCTTTGAATGTGGGTGGCATTTCTTTTAAAAGGCAAAGGAGGGTCTGTGAAGGAGAAAGGGAGAACAGGAGGTGGGAGTGGGGAGAAAGGGCTGAGACCCATGTCTGAAGGGGTCCTCTGCGGTTCCTTAGGCGGCTGTGAGGCATCTGTCTAGTGCATTCTCCACCCTACCCCCACCCCTGCCTGCAAGACTAGCTTTTCTGTTCCCTGAAACCGACCTTTCTATTTTCAAACCTACTCACTCCAGCCTCCAGGAGTCAGCAAACCATGTACCCCATATCTTTCGGCTCCAGCAGGGCAAAAATGGCCCCAAACCTCATCCTCAAAACGCGCGGGGCTGGTCCCATTCTCACCCGCCAGAGAAGGGCGTGGGGAACCCATTTCGCACTTAATAAAAGGACAAGAGGCGCCACAGTTCACATCCTGCCAAAGTACAAGGGGAGGTCTCCTTTGCTCCCGAGGGAGCGATTGCACCCTATTTTGCCCCAAAGAAGGGCGATGCCCGGGAGAAAGCGGTGGCCAACTTCCTCTACCATCTAATGCAGGAAAAGCAACCTTCACACAACCCCCCCCCCCCGCCAGCAAAAAAAAAAAAAAAAAAGACTTAGGACTAAGGACCCTCCACCACTGTCACCTACCTACAAAAAGAGAGAGACTCGGAAAAAAAAAAAGGGTTTCCAAAAAAAGTCAGGGGCTTTCATCAAAGGAGCTGGAAATGCACCCCTTACCTGCCTGCCTTCTAGGGAGTAGTTAGAAAATACCTCCCGCCAAAAAATTAAAAGTGCACGAGAGCCCCCATCCTAAGGAGCCCTCCTTAGAACGAAAGAGCAAAGGCTGATCCAAACCCCCACTTTCTGCCTCCGTTAGACTCGGGTACCTATCCAAAATGGACAGGGTATGCCTCCCCCAGGAGAAAGGATACTGTAGGGGATTGGGAAGACCCCCAACTCCAACCCCCTAAGAGAGGAGCTGTAAGCTGGAGATCCCCCTAAAACAAGAGAATCCGGGGGGCCCCTCCCCCAAAAGCCTTCCCCGAAGCCAGGCGACAGGCCGCTGACGGCCAGCTCCGGGAGCAGGGGCGGCCGAGGAGGCTGATGGGCCTCGGCAAGCCCACCCCCTTGGCGGCCCGTGCCCCGGGCGGGCGGACGGACAGACAGACCGGCGGGCGCGGGGGGTCCGGGGGGCGCCTCCTCACCTTCCCCTCAGCATGGCGCCCAAAAAAAGACAGAGCGAGAGCGAGGGAGAGCGGGCGAACGCCGCGAGGGGGGGCAACGCATGAGGCCGGGAGAGAAAGCGAAGCGAGAAAGAGCGAGCGAGCTAGAGACACCCACCGACCCCGCCCTTCCTCCTCCTCCTCCTCCTCCTCCGCGGCCCGGCCCAACATGGCGGCCGTCCCCTTCCTCCTCCTCCTCCCCCCCCCCCACGGGGGACGCTGCCCGGCCCAGGCCGGGGGGCCTGACCTGTCGTCAGGGAGCGGGAGGCGGTGGTGGAGGAGGTGCGGGGTGGCCGCGCGGCCGTCGGGGGAACACGGAGGAGGCGAAGGCGTTGATGGCGGCGGTGGCGATGGCGGCGGTGGCGACTCTGATGGCGGCGGCGGGGGGGTCCCGGGCACGGCCTCCATCGTTCCTTTGAGGGGGAGGGGATGTTAATGCACGAAAAAGGACTGCTTGGGCGTGGCGGGAGGGGCACACTTCAGCTCTCCGGGGCTCCTGATGGGAATTGGGCATATATAGAGATATATAGTATTTTTTTCGGTTTCGGAATCACCTCTGAGCTGACTTCCACGTAGGCCGCGAGGCCTAGGCCCCGGCAAGGCCGCCCGCCGCCTGCTTTCTCCGCAGCCTGGCCCTGAGGTCACTCGCTCACGGGCACGGGACCCTCATCGGGACGAGAGGTCCCCTTCCGCCACACACGCACACACACGCGCGGGCCCCCAAGGCCTGAGACCCGGGGGGACACGGACACTAGTGGGTGGTTGGGTGTAATTAGCGCGGGCCGCGCGCAACGGAGCAAGCGAAGGGAAAGGGGGGGAAAGAGGAGAGCGAGCAAGGGGATGGTTAAAAAAAAATCAGGGAGAAGAGGGAACGGGCTATGGAGACGGGCCGACTGTCTGCCCGCCCTAGATGCCCCAGCTGCCCGGCCCCCGCCGCGGTCAGGAATTCACACAAAATGGCGGCACGGCCGGGACGAGCACAGAGGCTGAAGCTGGAGGAAGGGCGTGGAGGGAGGGGGGAACTGAGAGGCCGAAGGAGCGTCACGTGGAGAAGGGCAGCGACAGCCCGCCCGAAGGCTGGCGGAAAGAACCGAAGCGGAAGGGCGAGGCGGAGGAGAGGAGACGGAAAGAGCCGAACACAGCTGAGACTAACTCGAGACTGAAAGAGCCGAAGGAGGATCTAGGTCACTGAAGCAACGTGAAGCGGATCAAAGACCCACCTAAAGAACCAAGGGTGGTCGTGGGGGTGGGACTAGAGAAGGCACGGAGAGCCGGAAATAGCCGAAGCGCTTCGGGATTGGAGAACCCCGGGGATTTGCGATAATCCGGAAAAAGCCGAAGTCAGTGAAGGGATCCCGGGAGGAGGCGGAAGTAGCCGAAATAAATTGAGCCGAGCGAATAGGAATTAGCGAATAAGCTGAACGGGTGGGGCTAGAAAGGCGATTAATTAACTCAAGGGTAAATGACTTTCAGGAACTCGCCCCAAAGCAAGCGAGAAGAGCCGAAAATTGCTAGCTTGAAGGAAGGCGGGAAGAGCCAAAAGTTTTAGGTGGGAGAATAATGGGAGGGAAAAAAATTTAACCGAAAGCCGGAGACCGGTCCCAGGAGTCGGACGTTTCCGAAGAGGGGCTGGAACAGAGGCGGCCCGGAGATGACGTCACTACATAACTCAGCCAGTGGCGTCATCCTTGGAGGCGAGAAGGGCGGGGCCGCACTGTGAGGGCGAAGTGGAAATCTTGACCGAGTTTTTAAAACACAAAAAATTTTGAAGTTCACCTCCTGCCCAAGTTGATGTTCCTACTTTATAGATAAAGACTGAACGCGAAGGCTGGAGGCTCAGTTGGGTTAAGAGCATGTGTTTGGAGCCAGGATTTGCGGAAAAGTTGAAGTTGGCGGTGCTAGCCTCTAAGCATACAGGAAACCCAAAGCTTCATCCGCAGCACCTTATAGAATCGGTTGCGGTGGCCCCAGCAGCACTCAGTGTAAAGGCAGAACAATGAGAAACTCAAGATCATCCTGACCCGCACGGCGGATAAACCGACTGCCGAAAGATACCACATTCTCTAACCTCATGCAAGAATAAAGGGAAAGACGGGATCATGGTGCAGGCAGTGACAAGGAAGGAGAAGGGAGTTGGAGCCTTCTGACAAGAGAGGAAAAAAAATTCTCATCTGAGATGCAGGAGTGGAGGTGTTATGAAATAAAATGCTGTGAGTGGTTATCATGGTGGGCCCATGCAAAGGTATGCCCCTAAGAAATTACACCGTGTGACAGATCTGCTATAAAGAGAATTTGGGGGCGGGGGGGGGAAGGGACAGGAGTGAAGGTCTGGAGAAGGGGTAAAGGCAGACAGACTGGAGCAGAGTCATAAGAAACAAAGGGCAGACAGAAAGGGGGCACCAGAGACAGAAATAGGAAGAGAGAGATCGCAGAGAACACACACATACATGCGGGGGCGGGGGAGGGACAGAGAGGGAATTGGGGTGGGTGAGCGTTTTTATCAGGAGCACACACCTGCCGAACTTGGCAGCAGGAGGTGATGGCTTAAACCATCACTAGGTACCTGGGGGCCGGACAACTGGATCTTCTGTATGCTAACATGGGGGGGGGGGCGCCTTGACACAAAACTCTTCTCAGAAACTAGTGAGCCGCTCATCTGAGATTGCTTGCTAGAGCCTCTTGTCAGGATACAATCCTTAATCTAATTTCTTTGGTGCAACCCAAAGCCTTGTATTTGCTATACAAATTGCTAGACACATCCCCAGCCTCAGTTCCTAATCTAATAGGGCTAGACTGGGCTACATAGCTCTGTCAAGAAAGAAGGATGCCAGGTGTGGTGGGACATGCCTTTAATCCTAGCACACCACAAGCAGAGGCTGGTGGATCTCTGTGGTTTGAGGTTGAGTCCAGCCTGCACTATAGAGAAAGTTCCAGGACAGCCAGAGCTGTTGTTACACAGAGAAACCCTGTCTTGAAAAACCAAAAGGGAGCCGGGCGGTGGTGGCGCACGCCTTTAATCCCAGCACTTGGGAGGCAGAGGCAGGTGGATTTCTGAGTTTGAGAGTTCGAGGCTAACCTGGTCTACAGAGTGAGTTCCAGGACAGCCAGGGCTACACAGAGAAACCCTGTCTC